AGCAACCTAAACGAAAGAAATTCACCATAGCGCTATTCTTTATCGAATGCTTTCTCCGAAACTTTTAGGAAAATATTTATGCTTTTACAGCAACAACAACAAACACATTAACAAGACACCGTAGCTTAAATATTTTAGTTATAACAATCCATGTGTATAAATGAGATCCTATTCTGTGTATCTAAGGTATGCAACTTCTAAAATGTTTACAAATATGGATTTCACTCAGACAAAGAATAAATAAAACTTACCCAGATCCGCTACGCGTATACCAAAGCAATTCATATCCTTGTTAAGTGTCTGTTGCACCGGGATGGCTGTAGAGCTGGAGAGTGTGCCCGCCGTTTCCTGTGGTCGCTTACGCGCCACGGCAATACCAATGGGCACTGTGTTATCTGCAAGCAAAAAACAAAAGTGCGAAAGAAAGCCACAAAGGCAGACGCTTCACTGTAGTCCCAATATTTTAAAATTCACGGAAAGTGAGTGAGGAGTGGTAAACATTATGTTTGTATCACAGTATAGTTTGTATGTAGATAGGTAATATGCTTGTACGGAATAGATGAATTTATTTATTTTTTTTTTTTTGTTTTTTATATTAACATACTTGTGTTTGGCATTGTGGCCGCTCCGGTGAGTGTGTTCACATTTGACGTCTTATCCATTTCGTTCACCTTCGGCGAAGAAGCCTCTATCTTTACAAGCGTTGTCAGCGTGGACGATGAGGACATAGTCTTGGAAGCGGCTGATATGGAAGCAGAACAACTGGACGTTGATGAGGCCACACCAACGCCCATGCCAACACCAACACCGAGCCCACCTCCGCCGCCACTTGTCGATGATGTAGACACGTGATGTTGCTGATGATGATGCTGTTGCTGCTGTGTTTGATGGCAATTGGCGGATGTCACTTCCGAAACTTGGCAAGGTTCGCGTTTGATTTGTACAAATGTATAACTGGTTGAAGTTGAATTGGTTTGTTGATGATGGTGATGATGTTGCTGTTGCTGTGAATGCGAATGCTGATGCTGATGGTGTTGAGCCGATGTTGCACCACCCAATGGTGATGTAGTTGTTGTGACAAAGTGTGGGCCGCCTGCAAGACTGAAAGGTTCCAAATGTAATGGCGCACCATTGGCCGTCGCTGTGGAGGGCACTAAGAAGGTGGTGGTGGCCGCAGCTGTGCTACGTTCGAAATGCTCTGTGGCAGCAGCGACGGCAACCGATGAGCCCAGCAAATCCGCAGCAGTGTTAGTACTATGACCATTGAATGTTGCCATTTAACTACGCGCACAAACAGGATTACAATATGTATGTAGGTAGGTATTTACAAATGTTTCTTTAGTTAAGTGTTAGTTTTGATTTTTAATTACATATGGTGTTGCTTTCGAAAATATTCAAATAGCCGGCGGCTTTGTGTTAAAATGCCGTCGCTAAAATGCAAATGGCTGATTTTTGTGCTGTGGGGTACTTCATAGTGGATTGCGTCGCCAACAACAGAATTGCGGCGCAAATACGCTGGATACATTTTCTAAAATGCAGATTTTCTCTGCCCTATGATTTTAAAATTGTTAGTTACACACTTATCTGGTTTGCGCTACATCTTCGTGTACGTTTTTTTTAACACTATTGGAAATTTCATAGTTCATTTACAGATTAGAATCTTTGTGGCGCTTGATGGCACTCCGATTCAATAATTGGTTGGAATTTCGCACACACACACAAACACATACAAAATGACATAATCCCGCCGCTGTGGTCTAGCGTTGCGGTGGCAAATGCTATGGCTGGCACGAATGGCCCCCCCTCTGTGCGAATATACATAAAACTTTGGAGTGTTTCCAATTCACTGGCCAGTAAGCAGCACTATAATTTTTCAAACACTTGCAATTTATTTTTCAAGTGGGTTTGAATTGCAAATATCCTCTAAAGGTTTTTGTGCGAAAAACACGCGCGCGCCTTTGCGAATTCGAGTTCCAGGAATTTGACTTTATTTTTTTATTGCCGAATACAAAGCCGCGGCCAAAACTGGCTGGCTGGCTTTTTGGTTGGTTGGCTGATTATTTTGCCAAATACACTCGTAGTTTTGCCGTCGCGAAAAATGCGAAAATACATCGACGGTACAACGACGACGACGACTACAACGACAACGGCCACGATGATGGCAACCACGATGACAAAAAAGCAAGTTTTCACTTTTGCCTTTGCCCGTATTCACTGCTAGTGCACAAACACATGAACACGCCCAATTACACACACAGAAACATGGCGACACGATACTGCACCGCACAAATGCCCAGCCACTTTGCTTTATAGCTCCTTTTTCGTTGAATTGACTTTGCGTGTTATTATAATTTTATAACTTTTTATTCATTTATCTTATGCACTTTTGCCTCTCCAACTACTTTCGTGCGCACAGAAAACGTATTTTATGCCTACAAATTGACTGGCAGATTGTGCGCGATTTTCCTGCAAGCGCACATCCAGCTTTTCGTCGTTCACTTGCCCGTTGCCTTCGTATTAATGGCCTTTTTTGCTTGCGTCAATTTCAATTCCTTCTTCGTTGATTGGTGCCTTCCTCGTGCAGATCCTCCACCTCCTCCACAACGAACAGGTATATATTTTTATTTTTATTGCTATTACTATCGTATTGCTTTGCACCTCTCCTACTTTGTACAAGTTTCTAGCCACTTCTTTTGCTCGCTCTTCTATTGCTTCCAGCAATTTTCAACCATTTCCGTTTCTGCTACATATATACTCCTCCTCCTCAATGTATCAGCATATTATTGGTGTAGTAAAACTCACTAAGTTTAGCTTCAATTTACTTACGCTTATCGTTTACACTTTACTTATGTACTAAATTAAATATTTCCAAAAAAGTTTACACCAAAATGTAATAAAAAATATATATTTTTTATTTGTTTTCATTCCCGATTCCGAATCTATTGCATTCCGCGTTGTCGAAAGTTCAGACTCTGATGCCGAACTATTCGCCTTAATAACGGCGTTGCTACAAATTACTGCGGCAAGGGAGAAACAGCGTGCGAGCTGTCAGATGAAAACGACGTTGATTTGTTGCGAATTGGCGGCGAAATATACCCCAGAAATTTTTACGTGATTGCGTTATAGGACTCTGTCACACGGTCAGTAATTATCACGATATTTGGATCGCGATCCATATTAATGGATTGATGGATCACGCACGGATGCTACATGCATTCCACAATTATTTTGAAATTTCCAAGGTTAATTAAAATTTTTTCAATTTCACTTGAAAGGTTTTAAGCGCCTAGAATGAAGGCAGAGTGAATATCTTTTCGATGTTCGCATCATGAGAGTAAAAGATTACTGACGAAATGTATGGATCGCGTTTTGAAAGTGCTACACGTTCAATATTTATTGACGGTACTGCGATCCGCGATCCAGATTTCAAAGTTTTTAGAAATGTTGCGATATGGATCACGATCTATTAATACTGCATGCTACACCGTCAATAAATATCGCGTTACTTTGATCACGTCAATAAATACTGACCGTGTGACAGTGCCCATAAAATAATTTGTGAAATAAGCTGAGAAATAAGACACGGAAACTTGTGTTGCGGCAACTCGAAGCTTGTAGTTAGGAATGTTCGAACTGTTTTCTTGGCGATCATTGTGTTATACCTTTTGCGTCTGGCGCTTTGCTGTCAGAGTTATAAATATCAAAGCCCCAAAGTTTTATCTGGCATCAGCTTTACTGAAATGCTTGTTGGGTCATTTTGAACGTTTACAAATATTTTCAATTCTGCGTGTGTGTCATGAACCAAAAATACAAGATCACGTAAGAACGCGACGTTGTATTTGTAACTGGTTTTGAGAAAAAAGTTTGCGAAAGCGGGTTCGTCAGCTGAGCGTTTGTTTACATCACAAGCACCACTATTTTACATTTTTATTCAAGTAAAGAAGAGTTAATTCAACATGACAACACATTTTAAAGCATTTTGTTGCATCATTTTACCTAAATTGTGCGTTTAAAGTAGCTGACAATAATTTTGGCTAATTTTGGTTTTCGTTGTTTTCTTTGCTTTGTTTACTTTTCGCTCGTTTTCCAGTGAAACAAGATGGCGTAGAACCCGCTAAAAAAATCTCTTGTTCTTACGTGATCTTGTGTCTTTCGTTCATGCGTGTGTGTTGGGCTTGCTGAAAGAGTGATCGTAAATTAATTACGTTCTCTGTCGTAAATATTTACGAACGGAAAAAAGATGAGAGTGGAAATGAAAAACGGAACCACAAAAGCGACACAAGATTCGCATTTTACAAAATGCCGGTCTCTTGCCGTAAATGGGAGGGGTTTTTCTAAAGATTTATGTACAATTTATGTAGCGTTACTGTATGTAAAAGAGGTTGCAATTTTAATTAAATAGAATAAGGATTTAAAGAATAACGGTAAAGTAGTAGCGAATAAGCTATTAGATTAGATTAAAAATCAAGGTATTCGATAAAAAAAAGCAAACAATGATTCATGAAAACAGAAGATGAAATATTTTCTTATTTAAGGGAGCACCAATTTGAGGGCACGGATTGGCGAAAGTCCTCAAAACGGCTTAAGCGGCTAACCTTTGCCGCCGGATATTCAAAAACCAATTAAACATAAAATATTTTGCTAAAACTACTTTTAACTGAAATCTTCACTACAGGGATGTATGTATGTACGTATGTATGTATGTATACCTGCATAAGGTCGGTCACTCCAGCAGCGTTCTCTGGTCCAGCAGCATTCCTTAAACCTCTTACTCTGATACCCGAATGAGACTAATCAACACTTTACCTGCCTTTTAAACTTCTCTTATTCAAGAAGCCTTCAATACCGTCAATTTAACTCCGACGATTAAAGACATTTGTGTTGAAGGAAGATTAAGTAGCCGCAAAAAACGACGGGTCTTAGAAATTCTTATACTATTCGATCCCTTACACTTTCCTCGCCAACTTGCTTCAGAGATGTAGAATTAAAAAAATTCAATGAAGTGTTCGTTATTTATGTTTACCACAATTTCTTACAGCTTAATGTCTTGTATTTTTATTGTAACTGCAACACAGCTTCGGATCTGTTTTCTTAAATACTAGCTATATTATTTTAACATATCACGCTTATCTCAAATGTATAAGTGTATAAATTTGCATGAAAATACGAAAAATTGTATAAAACTGATTCAAATGTACTGAAATGAAAAACATTTGCATTTAAATAAATCTTAAAATCCGTATACGTAGGAAACTTATTATACTTCTACCAAATACTTGTATTACTACGCTTTTTTCACATATAAATTCTACGTAAATCTTTTGGTGTTGTAATCAAATTGCACTGTGGGCAGAGCTTTCGTGCTCCTAGCGAGCGCAGCCAACATTCTTCGCAATGTACGTGCCAGCAAGCTACCGATATAGCTGGATTTCGGTAGTCGTCTAAGCAAATCAAGCATTTAAACTTATTCTGCACTTGATTTTCATAATGTCGCAATTTACTTTTCAATGACTCTATTATTTGCGAACTATATTGCTGCGCAACAGTATGTGATGTGAGTTCTTGCTTTTCTTTAGAAACCAAATCGGCAGTTAGGTCAGCCCGTGGAATGCTTAATTCTATATTTGCAGCTAACGTATTAGTACTATTAATTGCGCGTTGCAACTCCGTCGCATTAGCGCTCATTAGAGTTGTTTCGGTAGAGCCAGTTATTAGACGTCGCATGTAACTAGTAACATCACCATCTGCACTATTGCCATTCTCCTCCGCTATGGGTGGTATAACGTCAGCTTCAGCGTACTGCGCCGGCCCATATAGATGAGTGTCATCCTCGTCTACGTTTAAATCTTCTTCCTCTTCGTCGCCAATCTGTGTGTTATTTGGGACACTGCCAGCGCTGTGGTTTGTTACAGACTGTCCTACGCCGATTGCAGCATAACCGCCTTGTAAGAGACTAGAAACACGTATACGTTTTTGGCCAGCCCATTCATATTCTTCGTATTCCTCGCCATTCTCGTCTTCATTGCTTGAACTACCGCCATCAGGACCATTGACTGCGCCATTAGTGCGGCGTAGACACTGTTCTGCATGTTGCTCTATTTCTTCTAATGGGAAAGAGGCGTTACACACTGGGCATTGCTGTTCGGTTGGTGGTGGGGGGCGTTTACCAGTTCTTCGCTGCAGATTAATATTTATCTAGAATAAGTAAATATGGTTTATTATAGATTCAACATACCCTGAGACGTGTATGCCGATTTCGTTGCACCCGCTGGAATATAGTCCAAGGCTTACGTCGCTCCTCATTATGTACCACTGTATTGCTAGCACTTTGCTGTGTTAACTCGACAGTTGCCTCACTTACTGCTTTCATTTGTAATTGTTTTAAGCGCTCCATTTCCTGGTCAAAGTGTGGCTTCACTTCCCAATGCTGTAGCTTGCACTCGCACGTAGGACACTGTAGATACTCCTCAGCTGAGCCGCCTGTTAGCAATCGGCTGATTGACTCTGATGTAGCCTCCATTTTTATTGCTGTTACCGATTAATATATAAAAATTACCGGCCCGATTTTTATTAAAAATTTCGATTAATAATACAAAACAAAAGCAAAGCTTCATGGACGATTTCAGCACAAATAGAAGAAAAAACAACTACACACACTCACACGCAGCGGTAGACATTTGCTTGTTGACGTCTGCGATAAAAACTGACAGCTGCTTGTGGCGAAATGAGGAGGCCAGAAGTAAAATAAAACACGCATTATACATTTTATAAACATTTGAATATTTGGGAAAATCAGATTTTCACAGCGCATTTTATTAGTCTACCTTCTACAAACGAATATTTGTTTTTTTTTACCAATGTTCTTACTAATGCTGAATTTCCACCAGCCATTAAATTACAACATTTTTAAAATCAATGTTGGGCATTAAAAAATTCTTGTGCCATTACTTTTATAAAAATAGTCATTATGTCTGTTTACATTGTCATGCATGATTTCAACGAAATTGAGACGAAATTGCCTCAACTTCACGAATAAACTCCGAAAATTATTATTATGAATTGTAAATAAATAAAAAGAAGAACATCGAAGGTCAATCACAAGCAAATAAAAACAAAATAAACAAACTGTCATCGAAATTGAGATTGAAATTGATTCTTGATCAAGGCGCATGGGGAAATTATAAACAGGTGCTGTAAGTAATAAAACAGCTCTCTCGCTTTATTCTCTTAATTTTCTTGAAATTCGGCTATCTTATAGAATTTTTTTCAAGTAAATTTTCAAATAATATAGTGTCAAATGTTCTTTCTCACTCTTATACCTACACAGGGTTAAATTTCACCTTATCAGATGGCCACACCAGAAATTTGAACGAAAATGTACCTAAAATGGTGTGTTTGTACCGAATGTACTTTCAAACTAAATGAAAGTACGATTGTACCAACTTTTCCATGAGTGCAACAGCAGCTTACTGCGTGTGACAATAAGGAATAGCTCAATAATAACGTTAATTGACTGAATTAAGCTTGTCTGAATTTATTATAAAAACCTTCAATTTCATTTCGAAATTGCCCAATTAGGGCTGCGTGGAAACGCCCTTTTATTTACACAAACATTTTGCAATCGCTTTTAAAGCATAAACAGACGGCAGCGTTTATCCGGATCAACACGGGAATTAACTGCAGTTGATACGGATCAATTCTGAGTTAGTCCTGATCAACGCAGCCGTCTGTTTAAGCTTTTAGCGGATGCAACTCTTCAATATTTAATGCCCAACACTGCAGCGAATTCATCTCTTCATGTGCTGTGATACTATCGATTGTGCCGCCATTCGATAGTTTTCGAAACGATAGTTGAAAACATCGATAGTATCGATAGTACTATCGTCGTGAAAGGTATGTACTGAATTGAAACGATTGAAAATTAAATAATTAATAAATTTATAAAATTTATAAATTACTTTGTAAATTAAAGAGATTGTGTAATGTTTTTAAATTTGAGTGCATCAAAAAGAACTTCTTATAATAATAAAATAAACTTATCAATTTATGCGCCTGAATTATATAACTTATATGCCTTGAATAGCGACAGGCAAAATCTGAATTTATTTTTTATCTGGCAAAATTAAATTCGAATTTTATTTGTCCCTTTTGAAGTGCAAAAAAGTGAAATTGGCTATAAAAATACATTTATAATACTACAAAACAAACAAAATAAAAGATATTCGTTTAAATTGACAACTTATACTTATAAGTTATATACTGTGTTGTGAATTTTCTTGTATAAAAAAAAACGAATGTAATGTGTGGAGAAGTGAAGATGAGACATTGTAAAGTCTTGCTAAAACCGACATCGATAGTTTTCAAAACCTATCGATAGTGGCGACAGTTTTCAACTATCGATAGTATCCCAGCTCTAAAAGAAGCAGCAAAGTGGAGAAATTTTCGGAGACGATTGTTTATGTGCGACGCGAAAGTAGAAAAACGTTGATTTTTTATAATTTAGTTTTTATTTAAATTTAAATCTTCTTGCTAAACGATAAAGCAAAGTGTGGATCTATTGAAAATGTAAGGGTGCATTAAGTTATATGTGTAAAATTTGCAAAAATGACATTGAAAAGTAGCGAATTGCAGTGATACTGTCGCCATTTTGGTGTGTATGTGCGTGTGGATGGATGTGTGATTCAAAATAGACAATTTCGAAGGGGAAAGGAGAAATCAAGGCTCAAGGAACAATCTGCGAAAATTTTTTTTAGATAAAAGAGAAAGTGCTAAATTGTTTTATAATTTACATATTTGTATTGATGATAAAATATCAAATTTGTGGAAAACATTAACTTCCCTATCGTTTCAAGTGTCTCCATATAAGTGCATAATTTTGTGTACGAACAACGAAGATGTCTAGCAGAGACGCAGGTGGAGACAAGTTGGCGCAGCAACAGACACAGCTGAACCAACCACAAAAACAATCTGTTTTTAGCAAAAATGCAATTGCCAACATAAATCTGGGTGGATTTAGTTCCTTCGATAGTGATTCTCTGCCTGAATGTTCAGAATTTGACTCGGAATCGGTTACTTTGGATTACTTCAAAGAAAGGTACGCCAATGTCCGGTGAGAAGGTAGGCCAATTTGTATTTCAAATGTCTGTCTACCTGGATATGTATAAAGAATAATTGGTATGTATGTACATGGCTTTGCATCTGCCACTACATATTGCACAATGCAAAGATCTGCGCATATGTACATACATAGGAACATACATACATATGTACATACATAAGCCACATCTATCTCATCTGCCCATAATTACATTCCCCAAACGTTTTCTGCCTATTGTTTTGCTTGCAGTTGCTTCACTACACAGGCATACTTATGTATGTATGCGCTACTATTTACTTACAAACATCCATTATTTATTCGCGCATAATTAACATATTTTTTAGCAGTAATATGAAAATTGTTTTATATTCTTTTATTTACACATCACTCGCCGTGTAACTTTTCAAATAAATACATATTTTAAGCTTGCTGATTTTGGGTTTTTTGTTCTCTTATTACTGTTGCTACCCGCATGTATGCGCCCTATTTGGTAATTCCTATACGAATTTAGTAATTGTACGGAAATAAAAAACAATCGTTCTTACATGCAAATTTACGTATTCTAAAAATAACGAACATTCACATGTAAGTGCATACAATGTCCATGTGAAATGAAACGAATTTTTTGTAAGTGGCCATATTTTTGATGCTCTAACATGCCTTGCGCATATTTTGTTGGTTTCTTTTAGCTACATCTGCATATCAAATGCTCCATAGTTTGCATTTATCTACAGCAAAATGTACATGTGTACATACTACATACATACATCCGTCTTTCTACTTCAGCTCTGTGTAGCTTTTTTAATTGTTATTCTATTTTTAAACATAAACAAAGTATTCAAATGCGGAAGTTGCGCCCTTTAACACAATACCTTGGTACACTGCCTCATCCATTTCTATGCTCTTTATTCATATCACCACACACCAACGACAATTTGTGTTGTTTTAGTAATTTGTTTGGATCCAATCTTCTGTAGCGTTGAGTGTGTCAACGTGTTTATATGCATGTAGGCACTTTTGCTGTCGATAGTACATATTTTAAATTTTAGCTTATGATTTTAGTACCTAGTAAGAGGTGGAGTAGAAGGTCATTGCGTATTTTTGTATGTTTTTAATTTATTTGTCATGCTTTGTACAATAATTTCAAAAATTGTACAAACTTTTTATCACAATTCCAAGTTTTTAAATTAATTTTTGGCTTGCAGTTTTATAGCTTATCAAAATCAAAGTTAAGTGACAGTTTGAGGTTGCTAAAAAATCGCATTAGGTTTTGATAATTTTATTTCTGACGGTGTTATACACTCTTTTCCATATAAAAAATTACTTTGTATGAAAGAAAATGCGTGATACCGTCACCGATTATTCTAAAAGTCGAAGAAAGGCGCGTGTGCTGGGTTTGCATGTTTGTGGTGGTTACACTCCCTTATTTACGATTGACAAGCTCCGGTCATTTCTTAATTAAGATTAATACAAACTGTCCAGTTGTGGGTACTACGCAACCGATTGTTCGGTGCTCCCATCCTACGGAGAATAACCTTCGTTAAGTAAATGTCGGCTTTGGAAGTTATTTGAGGTGAATCATCGCATCGGCGGCAAAACCCTCGACGTTTCACATTGTTGTATATAGTCCATTTCTCGAGTTTGCTTCTTTAGGCGAAATCGAACATTTGTTTGACATGTTTAAATGTTTCTGCACTTTCTCGTATCGTGTTATGTGGGTTCGATTTAATAAATGCCTTTTTTTCGTCAACCTCGATGGACCTTCAAGGACGAGGAGTTTCTTTGATAACAAAACGCCAACGTGAAATTTCTTGCACCAGTTGAGGAGTAAAGTGAGAAGCAGAAGTTGTGGAGCCGTCGTTTATTTGTCGACAAATTTTACTTCCCTTAAATTTTAGCTAAGATCATTAAAGCGATGGTCCAGAAACATACATTTAGTCGATGAAGTACCGGTTGTAGGTAAACAACTGTAGACCTGTTTTATTTTGCATCATCATTTGTTATACTGCTTTTTTCCAATCACAATGCGTTTTGCATACGTCCATACATATTTGCGGACAAATGCTACACAATTTTGTAAGATAAAAAACACGCTTTAAATCTATTTCGATTGCAATAGTTATAATGCAAGAGTTATTAAAAAATTTTGTCCGAAAAGAATGCTGTGTATGAGTGTGTTAAGTCCACATTTCGTTATTGCATGGTTCTGTTGTAAATTGATCATCAATTTTGAATTGCATTTATTGAAATTCCCTTAAGATTCTCGATAATACTAATTGAATGAACCTGTTCTTATTTTATATATTCTGTTCCCTCAAAATTAACAGATCTTAAGCAGCTTAAAGCAAATAAAACATTTGCATTTAAAATTGGCATACAATTAAGCGCAAATATTGAACTAAAAAAGAACTTTAACGTACACTTATCGCAGTGAAAAGAAAAATATGAAGTGCGTGGAAATAAATATTAAAAAAAAAAATCAGCTAAAAACTGAGTGCAGTAATTAAAAAGACGCTAAAGTTAAAAAAAAAACGAACGTTTAACACGAAAAAGCTGTAGGCTAAGCCAAAGCCATTGG